AAAGATGGGGAAATTGTGGCTCAGAGAAACTAAGTAACTTTGCCCAAGGTCACATACTTAGTAAAGCATACCCAGGTCTGTCTGACTCTCAAGTCCCTTCTCTTTCTACTGCATCACACCACCTTCCTAATAGGAGTCACTGGCTCCATTTCCTATAAAGTTAACATGCTTTCAAAGAAAGAGAAGCATTTAAAGGACTAGGTTCAGAATAATTCCCTTCCACAGAGACAGAAGATGGAAGCAAAACCTTGCCACTTTGGTCACTGAGTAATTATTGTGAAACTATGGGGCTCTCTTTTAATTCCTTATATACTCCTCTTTTTTTATTGTAGTAAAAAACAATTTTAAGTTTATCATCTTAACCATTTTTATGTGTACAGTTCAGGAGTGTTAAGTACATGCACATTGTTCTGTAACAGATCTCTAGAACATTTTCATCTTGCAAAACTGAAACTCTATACCCATTAAAAACTTTTCCCCCCCGCCCCTCTTCCTCCAGCACTTTCCACTTTGTTTCTGTAATTTTGACTACTTTAGATACTTCTTATGAGTGGACTCAGACAGTATTTGCCATTTTGTGAATGGCTCATTCCAGTCAGCATACTATCCTAAAGTTCACCCATGTTGTAGCATAGCATGTGACAGGACTGAATTCTTACATACTCTTTGTGATATTCTTTCTTCTAATTGCATGTTCCATAAGAATTGGATTTTTGTTATATGCTGCCTGACATTGCTATCTAGTTGTTTCACTTATATATGGCTCCTTCTCTCCACCAGCTGGTGACCTTTGATGACATGGTGTTTGATCATTAAAAGTCTTTTAGGCCCTACCCAGCACCCAACACTATGCTGAGAATTTGGAAAGTGCACTCTACACAGTAAACTCTGTGAGATCAGGGACGATTCTATTTTATTTACTGCTACTTGCCAGCATCTAACATATAGGAAATATATAGGACATATTTTTTTAAAGAAATGAACAAACTTAGTATTTCTGAGGACTGATTGAGAATGAAAAGAGAAGTCAGAGACCTGAATCTCCAGCAACATTCATAAGAAATAATCTAAAGGAAGGGATAAAGTACTGGCTAACTAGAATCAGAATCTCTGAAAAACACGTTCCCCAAAATTACATAAAGCACGGTACCAGACCATTTATAATCTATTACTGAAGAGTAAGAAGGCCGAGGGAAAGGGAGACATCAAAAATGGCCCAATGTCCAAGATTTCCCATTTCTTGGTAGAATCAAAAGTTCTGACATCCAGATGTTCTCTGGGGAATGGGGGCTGGCCAAGCCAAGCAGCCCATGCCCATGATGTCTTGCTCTATTGCAAAGAGTAGCAACAAACTCATGGCTATTTCTTTTTTTCAACTTCTCCCACCTTTAATATCGAGGAACAGACAAATCCCCAGGATGCGTGTGTGAAAAAGCCAAAGATGGATAAAAATAATTCAATGACAAATGCTGGAAAAACATACAACGGGGCAGAAGCCAGACATTCGTGGGATTCCCTGACAGCTCGATCCACAAGGAAAGGCTGGACTGGAAAAAAACAGGGCCTCAGGTTCCTGCCAAGCTGTCTGAGGCCCTGTCCTTCCCAAATCATTCCAAGCAGCAGCCAAGACTTTACAGTAAACTTTCCAGGTCTCACAAAAAAAAAAAAAAAAAAAAAAAAAAAATGCACTCTGCACCCACTGAATGCTCCTCACCTAGAAAATTCTTTGCCCTGATGTGGTCCAATTCCACAGAAAGCTGGTACTAATGAGGAGATGCCTCTGCACACCAACTTTTAGCTCCCAATGACTCCCCACATGCCCAGAAAATGGATAATTAAAAGGCAGTTTGAAAAATTTCATCTTTCTCATTGGCTAAAGAAAAACTGAAATACCCAGGTATCAGCATCTAGAAACTGAAAACATCACTTTAAGAAAAAGGGGGAGGGTGTCATAAACACTTGGTACCTGAGTTCTGGAATCCTTATTGTATAATTCTAAGTTGGCCTTGCTTGGAGGCACACCTCAGGCTTCTAAACATGTGACTGTATTTGGCGCTAACTACTTTCTCTTCTGGAGAAAGGCCTGCAATTAATCTCTCTTATTACCTCTGAAAAGTAACAACAGAGGAATGGCTGGCCAAGTCCAACTCCAGAGTGTCTAGGGAACTGCAGGCTACATGGCCAGGCCTCAGACTGTCTGGGCAAGTCATGGGCTCTCTGCCTTCTTCTCCCACAACAAAGCCTGAACAGGGACTCCAGACAGACCAAAGGAACTGAGGGATTTGAGGAGCTGGGCTGAGCTTACACTGACCCAATGGGAGACAACTGCCCTGAGGCTACATTTAGGGTGGTTTCAAAACAGCGGGGGGAAGAACAAGGTTGTTTGATGAAAACTTGTGTGAACCATAAAACTGAGAACAATAGCAACACCACAGGGAAATGAAAAATAACACTATTTGCAGAGCTCTCGTGAGTCACCAGTTTTCATTCCTGTGGCTACCAAGTCACTGAATTCTCCGACATGCGGAGATGAAAAGTACAGCCAGCAATGGTATTCCCTTTACATCTTATTACAGTTTATAGGGCAGCCCCTAGGTTAGTGAATTATCGGAGTTTATCAGCAGTAGGATCCATCGTTGCTATTGTAGAAATACTAGTCAGAGTACCTTTTATTTACTTAGCATGCACTTCCAGGGAGCAAAGTGCTTTAAAGGCAATTTAAAAGCTCTCAAAACAGGCTGGTTTACATGTAAGTATGCTTACCCAATAAAAAGATTAAATGAATAGCTTAGGGTCAGTTAGTGTCAAAACCAGTAATAAAACTCACATCTCTAAGCTACAAATCCCACATTCACTAAACTTAGTCACCCTTACTACTAAAGAAGGAACAACAGACTAAAAGACAATCCACAAAACAGTGACTTACCAGGTAAAAATGGAAATCAGGACACAGTAATGCCTGCTGTGGGGCTGAGTGGGGCCCACGTCACAGCCAGGTCTGGAAGGACCTTTGAGAATTCACTTAGAGCTGCTTTAGGGTGAGCACCTCTGGGAATCCCACATGGAACTGGAACTCGCAAGCTGTGCTGGCAACCAGTGGTTACCTTGGGGCAGCAGAAGACTTCCCAGGGCTATCTTGGACTGGAATGGGACCTGAAAACTGGCTATTATGTTTGAAGAGAAGGTAAAGGGAGGGTTGTTGTGGGTAAAACTACCTCAAAAAGGAAAAGACCAGGGACTTCATGGTGGTTGCTTCTGGCTGCAATGGCTGTAAAGTAAATCGAACGTGCCATTCTATTGCAGCCTCATGAGCATGGTCTGGCTGGAAGAAGCCCACTCACAGTGCTGAACTCTAGGTCCTGACTCTGACCTTGACAGATCACGTCATCTTTCACCTCAATACCAACAAGTGCTACCAAGAGAAAGTTCTAAACCCAGCCATAATTCTTACTAAAAATTTTTCCTTACTCTACCTAAAAGTATGAAAAGTCCTAAAACTCTACTTCTTCAAAATGTGTAGTTTTGACATTTTGTTTACAGAATGGAAAATGCCTGTAGCCTTGTCATACAGATAGTATATCCAAGATTTCAGTGAAAATGTTTTCCATAGAATCAAGGCTCTGATTTTAAATGAAAATGGGGTATTTGTTAATATTTTATATGGAAAATAAAGCTCTGTGGTATAAACAGAATTTCTTTTTTACGACTTATGTTTTAGGAATGTGGTTACTCTGTAGATTGTAAATCACCAAACAACAGATTTTTCCTGTGAAGGAAATTGTGTGGAAGATGTCCTGTCTTAAAAAGTCCTGCCTCTTAGTCTTCAGCTCTTTATAATTCTCAATTGGAATGATTCTTTTCAATCCCCATCACCACAATTACGGGCATGAAAAACATTGTACTGGGACATGATGTAATGTGCTGGTGTTTATGTTGCTTCCTGGGCAGAGTTTCTGCTTCCCAAATTAGTTCCTTAAGTAATAATTCTAATGCCAACAGATACTTTAACAACAATTAAGTATTTCCTCTATGCTCAAGTCTGCAGTCCCCCCTCCCAACCACAGAGCAAGGCAGCATATAACAGGCAGAGGCTGGAAGCACTGGCACGGGGGTGGGGACTCAGGGGGACACCTGCGGTAGAGCTTCTTTATTTGGAAGGAACAATATCTCAGCTGATCAGAATACCTCCTCAGAACAGTCACATTTCTCTCTTGCTCATTTAGCTCAGGGACTGATGCAACTTAATCCATATTTAATAGCCACTAAAGCAAGATGTACCGTGAATCCATTTCTTACATTTTTTATGCAGGGATGCTTAAAACACAGAGCAAGACCAGAATTAATATGGAGGTTTCTTTTTTTAATTCAGAAGTTCTTACTTTGTGGCCAGAATCTATTTGGATTTTATCCTCTGCTACTTCTCTCCACTATGTAAAGGAAATTTCCTCCCCACTTCCCAAACGAACATTGTCCAGGGAGGCAGCTTGGGTTTAGTTATATAACCTAGATGAAAACATAAAAAACAAATATGAGAGCACTTCAAAAAGTTCATGGAAAGCTTTGTATTATCTTTTAATTCTATTTTTCCATGAACTTTAGGAAGTACCCTCATATGTCCTTCAAAAGAAAAGAGTTCAAAGTTACTGAAACACAATATAGTACGAGGGATAAAAAAGGAGGAGGAGATAATGGTAAAACATCAAAAGTCAGTACATGAAAATGTTGACTACAAGCAAGGATTAATTAATTAATTAATTAATTCTTGCTCTTTCACCAGAAACAATTTTCTTATCAGAAATTTCCTTTTCATTTGATTTTCCTGGAAACTGTCTTACAAATAAAATGAGGCCTCTTACTCCAGTGCCAGAGGATTTGGACAGGTGAAGAAAGGGCATGCACCTTATTGGTATCTCCGTACAGAACTCATGGGGTAATGGCATGCTTGGGACACAGGCCATCCCTGTGTAGCCTTAATGCTAGCTTCAGGGCCCTTCACATACCTGCTTCCAGGAGGGCTGGAGTGGTTCTCAGGAGCTTGGGGGTCTGACTGTATTGACCATGTCGGGCCACTGGGACTGATGACAGGTCGAAGGGTAGGGGGAGTTGAAGCACTGCTTCTGTTCATGATGCCACTTGCCAAATTCAAGTGTGTTACCTAGAAATGAAGTGAGGGAAATTACCTGATTTTATAGAATTTTAGAAAAGTACCATTAAAAACATATGGGAAAAATCAAGTAAAGTCTAAGAGAGCTGACTCATCTGAGCTAAAGCAGTGGCAGTGACAAACAACCCAGTAAAGGTTGGCTTCTCTGCACAAAGAGCAGAAGTGAGGGTGGTTAGTGTCAATATAAGTCAGCAAGTATTTATTCTGTTCCTAATCTGTGCAAGGCACTGGACTGTGCTATGTGCTGTGAAAAACAAAGACAAATTTTAAAAAACCAAGAATTTACTGAGAATTCACTTCATGCCAGGCAATGTTTGAAGAAACTACGCAAACTTCTTTGCCTTTCTGGACCTTCTTTCCTCATCTGAAAGTTCTAAATGCTCAATAAATTTAGTTATAAGTAATAATTACTATAATATATGAAGGACTAATTGATTTAGAAAGAAAAAAGATATAACAATCAATAGAAAAATGGGCATTGGATTCAATAAATAATTTACAAAGAAGGAATTAGCCAATGAAATATTTAAAACTAGTCAATTCAAATGGTAAATGTAAATTACAAGAAAGAAATGCAAATGACAAAGGAATGCAAATTACAAGATACCATTTTTGTGTTTCACATTGGTATACAACAATAAAAAAGACAGTACTGAATAATGGCAAGGGGTAAGATTAGACAGGTACTTACACTACTTGTGTGACTCTAAATTGGTAGAATTTTTCTAGAAATCAATTTGGCAATACATTACTAAAGTATATTACAATATTTGTACACATTAACGCTACAATCTAGCTTATAGAAACTATGAGAAAAAATAATTGCAGAGGATTAATGATGGTGACTATTATAATAGCAGTTAATATTATAACTTAATATGTGCTAAGCTCTGTGTAACTGAGTACATTTCATACATCTCATTTAAATCATCACAAGTCTGTTGGTAAGTACTATTATCATCCTCATTTTACAAAGAAGGAAACTAAGGCCTAGGATTGCAGTGAGAATATTGTTAAATAATTTTGGGCCGACCCGTGGCTCACTTGGGAGAGTGTGGTGCTGGTAACACCAAGGCCACGGGTTCGGATGCCTATATAGGGATGGCCGGTTAGCTCGCTTGGGAGAGTGTGGTGCTGACGACACCAGGTCAAGGGTTGAGATCCCCTTACCAGTCATCTTCTTTAATAAATAAATAAATAAATAAATAAAATTTTGCTCTACCCACAGGGGAGATTATATAGACATTAACATTTTTTGAAAAATACTTAGTGATATAGGAACATGCTGAAATCGAGTAAAAAAATCACGATAGTAAAAATCACAATATGAAACTGTATAAAGAATAGATCCAGGGGCCGGCCCGGTGGCGCACTGCTACAGTGCGCCGCTTGGGAAGCGCGGTGGCGCTCCCGCCGAGGGTTCGGATCCCACATACAGACCGGTTCCCGCTCACTGGCTGAGCGAGGTGCGGGAGCAACAGCGAGGGTTGCGATCCCGTTGCCGGTCCCGGTCCGGTACGGGCGCGACACTGAGGGTTGCGATCCATTGCCGGACATGAAAAAAGACAAAAAGGAAAAAAAAAAAAAAAAAAGAATAGATCCAAATTTCTTTAAACGCACATACACACACACACACTCACAGATATACACTCCTTAAAGACTGGAAATAAATATCGAGCATATAAATAGCCATCTATTTCTGAATGGTGACTTGTTTTCTTCCTTATACTTACCTATATTCTCCACATTTTCTACATTGGGCATGTAGTACTTTTACAATCCAAAACCAAATTTTAAGTCGTTATGACAAATACAGATGTTAGGTGATAAGCTTAAAACCTGGACAGTGGTAGTGGAATCAGAAAAGAAAGAATGGTTGTGAGAAGCATTTCTAAAAAAGATGCACAGCGGATGCTGAAAAGAGGGAGAGACAAAGCTGCATGCAGGTGCTGGAGCAGGAGACAATACAGTATAGTGAGTAATCAGACAGGAGATCTAAATTCCAAGGAAATGCTCTCCTAGAAAAATGCCCTAAGTACCTATAATTTTGACATTTACAAATGAAAGAATTCTGAACTTTTTTAAAAAATCATAATTCTCAAAGAAAAAAGTAACTTTTAGCAACAGTATAGTGTTTCATTCCTAGTTATAGAATTGAATAAGTGAAAACAGCCCAGGACTGATACTTTACAGCAAAAGACTCAAACTATTTTTCTTGGAAGGAAAGCTGTTTTCCATAGGTCAAGAGCAGTCTCTGGCATCTGTTGAGGCTGGGGTGTGGAACACTCTGACTGCACCCTCCAGTATGGACCAGGCTTCAGAAGAAGCCCCATGAGCCAACCATGGCTTATCATATCTGCCCCCTTCTGCTGCTATGGAAGAAGACAGGCACATGCTGACGAAAGGGCAGGGAAGATACAGCAGCAAATTATGGCAGTGCCTGTTCTCTAGCCCCTTGATTCTTTGAGTGCCTTGTCCTTCTCCCTGTACCCTAGAGGCAATGCAGTCAGGCCCCTAGGTAAAAGATAATTAAAATTATTTTTTAATTCTATTCTTTTTTCTCTTTTTATTTTTTTTTTCATTGCACATGTTTATGGGGTGCAGTTTGTTTTAACTCTTTTTCCACGAGCTTTTTGAAGTAACTTCATACAATGAAATGGGCTCCCTGTAGGAATGAACTCACTTCTGTCCCTCGCTGACTTCTCCTTCCTGCCCTGATCTCTGGCCTTAAATATCAGGCCTTTTAAATTAGACATGATCTTGAAGCTTACAGTGAGAAAGGTCGTTATGACAACTAACAGCTTCTCCAATTACTGCCTCAGTCAGTTGTGCCAAAAACTTAATGAAGGAGGCTTAATGATAATTTATAGTCAAACAACATTAAAATAAGCAAAATGTGCACATTTTACCATGTTTAGTATAAATGGTACAGTTTGGAGATTAGTGAATGAAAAGGAGAGAAATTAACAGATTTGGTAAATCTTCTGTCTTTTGGCAAGGCTGCCCCTAATTTAAACATCATTTACATCATCACAGTTAACGATCAGTGAACACTCACTATGTGCAACATACTTGACGTCCTTGCATTATCTTGATGTGCATTATCTCATTTAACCCTGAGGAATCCCTTAGAAATAGGTTCTATTATTATGCCATCTTACAAAACAGGAAATTAAAGTCGAGAGAGGGTAAATGACTAGACAAAAGTCACATACCTACTAAGTGGCAGGGCCAAGATTAGAATAGAGAATGCACGTGGTATACTTTTTCCAAATAATATGGTTTAACATTTGAATCATTACAGTAGTAGTAGTAGTGTCAGGCACTCTGGGTTTATATTTCACTTACTCCCTACCCATTACTCAGAGAGGTGGCTACTGTTACACCCCATTTCACAAATGAGGAAACTAAAGCTCAGAGAGGTTTGGTAAGTAGTTTGCTCAAGGTCAACTAACAGTTGCAGAACTAGTACTCTTATTTTAAAATCCATTTCCTAGTTTGGAAACTAGTAGGGAAACAATCATAGTTATCCTTAATTATTAGAGATTCCTGAAAGTGTCATCAGATACTGACCTCAAATTCTGAAGGCAGTGATTACACGGGCATTGATAAAAAGGTATACTAACTTTTCCTTCTTCCCCTTAAAATTTATTTCCCACTTGTTGCTACCATTCATCAGAGGATATTAAAGAAGTAAAACAAAGAAAAATCATCCTCAGTTAATCAGTTCTGTTTCTTATTAGGTACAGTAAAAAGTGCCATAAATAGGAAACCAATTTTGGACCACTGGTAGATTTTGTTTATTCATGTAACATCCGTTCTTTTTTCATGGATAAAACAAGAATTGGCAGCCACTGTGATTTTCTTTGACACAGAAGCAAAGCATTGTTGTTAATTTATTTTAAGATATAGCAAATTGACCACTACTTAAATGAGAGACTAATTCCTGCTAAATAAAAACCAAAAACCTTTCTCTACAAAATGATAACAACCTGCCCCTCTATTTTAAACATTCTATTCTTACCCTGTGATTTTGTCACACTCAGCACATATGCCACAACTACCACCCCCACCCCTCACTTCAGCTCTGTCTTCCTGGGACTTACACTGCCAAATAATCGAACATTTGGAGCTGACTTGGATATGGCCTCAGAATCTTCTTAACACAGTTCTCCAAGCAGCCATCACCGATCAATCGGAAGGAACAAGGAAAATGAATATTTTCTATCTCTGTTCTAATAGAATGTCCTATGATGATGGAAATGTTCTATATTCTGCACTGTCCAATACAGTAGCCACTAGCCACATGTAGCTATTACGCACTGAAAGGTGGCTGGTATGACTGAGGAACTGGATTTTTAAACTTTATGTAACAAATTTTAAAAGCCAGCCTCAACCATATCTGGCTAAATCTTGTGTACAAACTTATATCTGGATAAAGTTTGCTCCAAGCAAATTATTAAATTAATTAAGAAAGCCTCTTCTTTTCAGCTTCTCACTTTTTTCCAGAATGGTCAGAAGGAGCCACCAAACCAAAATAAATCCAAGCACCAATTTTTGCCCTAGAAAGACCTAAGAACATTTCCAATCTTCCAGCAGTGAATCAGACCTTAGTAGACTCTTCAAGGGTTCACACTTGATGTTTCTTCTCTAATAGGACAGGGAGATGATGAACATGGCTGTCACCAGGCTTCATCTACTTCTCTGTCCATCTACATTTCTCCAGGTAACATAAAACCAGCTTTGATTACATGAAGAAAAAGTGACAAATAGCACTTATATGTACCTGATATGCAATGATGATTAACATTTTGTAACCTAGGGTCCAGGGTCTCCTAAATACCCAGGCTCTTGCTGCTGCTGAAAGGTTTGAAACAGGAAGTGAACCTGTCATAACGCTTTGTTTTGAATTTCTGTTCTTGGAGGAGGCGACAGGAAGTCATGAACCATGAAATAATAAATTGTCCTCTAAAAGATATTGGCTGAAACTG